TATAATTTTAATATATATATATATATATATATATTTTTTTTTCAAGGGGCATAAGATTGAATTTAGTTATTAAAAAAATGGAATTTGGAGATTATTATTTTTAAGTAAAAAAATATACAAATTAATTGTGATGTAATTATATTTTTAAAAAAAATATTTTATTTTACATGTTACATTTAAAATTAATTATTATGTGCTTCATATATTTTTTTAACATTTATTAGAATTTTATTAGAAAGTGTATCTTATAACTAAATTATAGATAATTTGTGTTAACATTTTATCAAAATAAAAATTGATATTATTATCACTTGGGTTATATATTATTTCAAATATATAATACCATATTTAATTTTTTTTTGACATATAAAGCTTAGTTTTTTAGCTTTGTACAAAAGTGTAGACCGTTGGTCTACACTTTTTAAGGACAAATTAATAGTATTTACAAACTACTATTTTTTAATGATAGATAATTTAATAAATTTAATCTCTTAATTATTAATCAATACAATCATTAATACATATAATTATCAATTAAAAATAATTTTAAATTATCGGTTACTCAATATTAATTGTAACATTATATGAAATAAGTATTAACTACTATACATAACACAATTATTTGATCGAAGGTTAACTAATTTTTAAAATTCAAATTTAATAAAAAAGTATATATTAACCCTCAAAAAATAAAAAGAAATATATAAAATAGGCTAAAAATCTATTTTGGTCCCTTATAATAATTTTTTATTTTAATTTAGTCCCACTTTTATTTTTTGTCTCAATTTGGTCCCTCATAAGTTAATTAGTTTCAATTTGGTACTTCCATCCAAATTATTTAAACGGAGTTAACTGTTGGCCACGTGGATGCCACTAGATGCATACGTGGATACCACGTGGACGCCAAAAGTGTAACCAGAACGGCCCGTTCTGGTTTCAGAACGAGCCGTTTTGGTTCCAGGTGTTTTCAAAAAATTGGCATCCACGTGCCATCCACCTATGCATCTATGTGGCATCCACGTGGCCACACAGTTAACTCCGTTTAAATAATTTGGACGGAAGTCCCAAATTGAAACCAATTAATTTATTAGGGATCAAATTGAGACCAATTAATTTATTAGGGACCAAATTGAGACAAAAAATAAAAGTGGGACTAAATTGAAACAAACAATTATTATAAGGAACCAAAATATATTTTTAGCCTATAAAATACAAGTGATGCAAGGAGAAAAAAGATATAATAAGAAATTAGAAAAAAAAAGAGAAGAAAGAAAAAATAATGAGTGGTATATTATAATGATAGAGACATTAAAAAAAATATTATTGAAACCCTAAACCCTAAAGTATTGTAAACGAGTGATACATGAAAGAGAAGAAAAAGAAAAAATATTGGCAATAGTATGCAAGATACAAAAAGAGAAGAAAAAGAAAAAAAAAATATAGGTTCAACTATGTATTAAAAGTATAACAACTCAAAAATAAGATGATCATTGTTGAAGATGAATGGACATTAGAGAGGGATGTTCTAGGCTCTTTTCTCTAAAATTGGATTAAGCATAACAAGTTCTATTATATGTTATTGTCTTTTGTAAAAGTCTCAATCAATAGGTGTAATAATTCATTCAAGTGCTCATAGTGCAATCTTTCCTTAACAATTCTTCCTTTAAATTATAATAGGTAGACAATTACAATTGAAAATAATAGTGAAAAAAAAAATCTATCAACAAATTGAAAGGAGAAGCAATGGTGATATTAAATAAGGTTTTGAGGAGATGTACCTTGCAAAAAAAATTATTAAGAAAGAAATGTAGATTTTTATTTATACTAAAATTTGTGAAATTTTATAAAATTCAAAAACATGATATGAACTTGCAAAAGTTTACTAAAAAAAAGACATTAAAAAGTTCTAAATATCTCCTCTCATTTGAATAAATATCATTAAAAATATCCAAGCACAATATCTTCTTTACAATGGAATAAATTGGAATATATGGTGTTGTTTATCAATTATGTATAGTTCCTCCTTGTACTCCAACAATTAACTCTTGATGTAAGGTTGAACTTAACTTGATAACAAATGAAATGATTAAAGGGTAGAAAGAGAAAGAAGGAGAAGAAGAAATGATAAATAAAATCAAAGAGGAATCTATTAATGATGTGGAAGATGATTAGATGAGAAAAAAGAAATACTTAAAAAAATATAGGAGATGATTAGATAAAAAGACAGAGATGATCAAGAGAATGACATAAATATTTTTTAATGAGAGTTTCATAACTAATAAAAAGACATTTATTTTCATAGTTCCAATTAAAAATTATTAACCTCCAAATAATAACAAGTATAACAAATTGTGAAATGACACATAAGCAAAAAATGATGATATGGAAAAACTTATAAACCTTAGAAATTTGAGATAACAACGTCATAACTTGTGTTTATATTATAAATAAATAATTTTTAATGAGAGTTTAATAATAAATAAAAGACATTCATTTTCTTAGTTTTAATTGAAAAGTATTAATTTTTATATAATAATAAAAAAAATATAAAAAATGAGAAATAAGAAAAATATACTATATAAGAAATAATGTTGATAACGCACTCAAATCTTTATTAGTCTTTATATTATAAATAAATAGAAGATAGATAAATAGATGTCCACGAGATTATTCTTATCACACTTGTATCTAAACAGAGAACCCAAACGAGTGTTTATGCAATCATGCTTAATATTATTTGAAATTCATCATGATTTAAATTTCACTAGCTAAAATAGTAAAATGTACTGTCCAAGGTAAACATATCTCTACTTGTTTAGTTTGATGGTAGAAAACTGTAGTGAATACAAAATCACCGCAAGTTCTCCACAAAAAATAACTATTTATTGCTTCCAAAAATCATACTTGAGTTTAACTACCACCGATCCAAACACACTCTAAGAAACAAATTTACTTCAGAATTTTTTTTATCAAAGATTTAGAGGCTAACTTGGAGATCTATATGGCACTGGACTAAAAAACACTTTTGTACTTCTAAATGATTTATGGCTGTATGTTCAATTTCAATACAAATTACATCCATCATTTTGTCTGTATGGATGCTCTGAACAATTACTCTTTACTACCACATTCCATAAATTTCACATAGTAGGATATTGAAAACTTTCAATTGCCACAACCAAATTGAATCATTGCCTTTTTCATGGTAAATGCCTAAACCAATCTTACATACACAACATGCACACAATTTCAATAACTAAGCAACCACTAACAAGTAACTACCCCCCTATACATCACAAATTTGATTCATGAAAGCCCCTTTCACAATGACTCAAGGAAACCAGTTTTTGTAAGAACAGCATTCCTCACTTTGCTAAGATCCCTCCCTTTGAGGGTCCTCCCAACACCTTCAAAAACTGAAAATGAGGATATTTGACTCCTTGCAAGCCTCCTTGCAATGAACTCATGTGGGGGCAGCTTGGTATCATACTCATCATCCTCTTCCTCTTCTTCACCATCACTATTATACCCTCCACCATCACCTTCACCATCAACAGAATGATAGAAATCATCATAGTCACCAAACCTTGAAACACTCTTATTGGTCTTGCTTTGCTTGTTCCTATAAATCTCTGACCGATCAGGAATGTTGAGAGGTACTGATTGCTGAAGAACCTTGGTCTCATGAGAGGAACTAGCACTACTATTGCCACTACTAGTCCTTGGGATCATCCTTGTTGCACTTGGGAGAGTCCTGGGGACAGCAAGAGGAGAAGACCCTTTTTCTTTTGGCTTGTGATAATCAGGTCTGTCCTTGAGAACAGCCCAAACTTCTTCTTCTTCAAAGTCTCCATCTCTCAAGCATCTCCATATTCCACTCCTCTGCCTGTTTAGACTATCCATCAATCACTTCCTACATCCAAATCACAGGAAACGTTTCACTAGAAATTGAACCACAATTTGGCTTCCTCAAAACTCTAATATTGTTTAATATACTTCAAAGAAGAGGAATTTCAAAAGAAATTAATCTCAAAAGCATGTTATGAGGAAGGACTTTTTTTTATGTTCCATTAAGGTAAATAATAATATATACCTTTGTTTGAATCAGAAGCTCCAAAGGCCTGACTTTATGTTGATTCTGGACAGTTCCCTTTTTTTCTTCTTACCTGAAATATGGAAATTATACATATAGAAGTTGAAATTAGATTTAGAGATAGTCTCTTTTGATTCTGATATCAGAATTTGAGGTTGACAATTAATAATACTAATATTTCACAAGTCCTAAAATTCCTTACCTCTATATGTTTGAAGGAGGGTTGCATATGATGGATTTTATGGAGCAGAAGGGCACCCCACAAGAGCTGAACAACAGAAGCAAGGCCACAAGGGGCAGGAATAAGACAGACCTGACTTCTGCTTCTGCCCCTAGAGATCCTCTAAGTGATGGATCTCTCTCTCCATGTATTTAACTCTTCAGTTCTGAGAGGACTAACTTTTGACAAGGAAAGGTTAAGAGGTGCAGTAAATCTCTTTTACTCACTTTATCTGAAATTGCATCTATTGGAATCTTTAATGCAAAATAGAGGAAAGGAACAAGAGATGTTAAATTTCATGTGACATAGTCCTCAATATAGTGGATGCTTAGTTGTTTTGGTCATTTCAAATAAATAAAAATAAATAAAGGCATGTAACTTTACCTTTTCCTTGTGCCATTCCCAGGGCTCAGGTTTCCTTTTCTTCCCATTTATAGCTTTCACAAGGCCACTAGCCATAACCACATCCATGTCACACTTTCTGTCCTTCAGTTTTACCATATGGTAAGTTTTTTTTATTTAGTAATCATAGTATTATACAAGGTATCTATTATCAGAAACAGTGAGATCATAAACAAACACAAAACAAGTATTCTATTCTTAACATAATTTATTTCATATATAAAGTTAAAATCTAAATCTAAATAATTTGGTTAAGGGATGTAAATTGTTGTCACTTGTGATTACTGACCCATTAGTATATGATAAGTTTTGATGGAGCAGAGAATATTGGCTTTTAATGGAGTACCAAGGGTAAAAACTGTGAGTCAATTATTGGCTGTGTTAATAAATTTCTAGTACATAGGCTAAGTTAAAAATATGCAGTAACAATGGTAAATGAGGGACATAGAAATGATGTTATAGGTACATCCATTGCCTTGTGAATGGACGGCCAATAGATAAAGAATGGTTATTGTCAGGGAAGCAGACAAAATGCCAAAGTTTTCAACGGAAGAATACAAATGCTATATATGCATTTGTATTAAAAAAAAAAATAAACAAATAGGCACACAAATCATCTTTTGTTTTTTCTGCCCTTAATTTGTTAATTCACATATCAAGTGGAGGAAGATGCCACTATCTATAATATTAATAACAATAATAATACTAATAACAAAAGCATACTGCATGAACGTACAGAAATAGAGAAAGAAAATTAACACACGGAAATTCTGAGGTGGAACAAAAAAGGATCTGATGACAATATTAAAAACCAAACACCAAGTCACCAATTTGTGTGGCTCTGATGGGAAGGGACCATAGATGTCTTAAACATGTGGTCTTAGATTCAACCTTGAGATTCATATCTAAGGAAAAAATAGGAGGGATCCTAAGTTTAGGGCCATGTGTTCTAAAATAGTAAAAATACTAGTGTTCGTGAGATGAATACTTTTTTTTTTCCCTTTATCTTTATTAATCTTAAAATTTTGATATGATTATTTATTCGAACATAATTCATTCGATTAAAGTCCAAAAATATTTGTGATCAATGTAATTCGTTTACGTAATATATTGATTTTAACATTTTCTACCATTAATTTGTCGAATGATTTGAAAATAAAAACATAATTAAGATATATTTAATTTTTTGAAATAAAAGTATATCAGACCTCAGTTTTAAAACTCAAAATTAATTTTTGACCCAGCAATTAGTGAATAAAGATTAGTCTCTCTCTTATTTAGCAGAAAGAAAGATATTTTGGAAAATAAAAATAAAGTATTAAAAACCAAAACTAGTTTCTACATTAGTTAATTAATTAAATCCCTATGATGTCCTTCGTGGAAGTTCCTTATGGCTGGCTGATATACAACAACGTGACCCACATGCATCAATTACCAAGCAGTCATTCAACGTGTGTTAAGTTTACCTATGGCTAAAGTTGGAGAAGAAACAAGAGATTGTGGTGTACCAACCTAATTAATCAACACTCCTAGATTACTTCTCGTTAAGATTCAAGTGAGAACAATTCTAACTAAAGAATACGAGAATTTTTCCAAACCTGGAACAGAATCATGTTGCAAAGCTGAACATACTCCAGCTGTATCATGCATTAGATATTTAGACATATAGTGGCGGCTACAAAAGTGAAAAACGTGGGACCAAACAAGTAGTGTTTTTCGCACTTGATTATCTGTCGTTAAAGCAGTGTAAGCATAGTAAAATAATCATGTTAAGGTTGAGTTCGTTTGTTATTGGTGTATACAATAAGGTGGAAAAGTAATGCGAATACCTATGACTCAACATGATGCATCTTTGAATTCAGATCAACTTGAGTTGGACGTGTAAACAACAATAAATAATTCTTGCATTAATTTCGATGTATTTTTTGTTTAAATGTGAATCATGATGCAGAATTAAACATGTATACGTAATGGTTAAATACCATACACTTTGTTGTAGTGATAATTTATTTAGTAAAAAAGTTTACTGTATAAAAAAGTACAATAACAGTTATATTATTATAGTGAAATCAAGTCTCTGACTCGATGATTTAGAATATTCTTAGCGGGTAAATAAGAACAAAGGTGGAAAAGTTTTCTTTTTGTGATATTGAAATTTATAACAAGATTAGAATATTTGAGGCGTATGGGTTATAATATTCTCACTTTTTATGCAAGTTGGTGCTAACTTAATGTAAAATCCTAGGGCATTGTGACTATAATGTGGCAAGCCATTATTGAAAGATGTGCATTATGGAATGAGATACAGACATATCAGCCTGATTTCTGGAACCACCCCTCTGAATTATATGGCCTATAATATTATACTTGAAGTGTACAATTTTTCTAAGACAACAATGGCCTATTATGGAATGAGAGAGATATAGACATGTTTGCCTTTGTTCTATTTTTAGTTTGCCTAAAGTAAGTATTCTTGGGGAGATACTAGCATGAGCTTAATTTTGATATGTTAAATTAAAATGTTTTTTTATTACTAATCAATTAATTAAAAAATTGAATATGATTTTAAAATAATTATTATAAACAAATTTAATTAGAACATATTGAAAATTTTATATTATTATTTAATTATAAATTCTAATGTATAATAAAATTATTAACTTTTATAATAATTGATTAAAAAACTTAATTCTTATATATTTTTTATCAAAGTAATTTTGCATTATCAACAAATTAAAGATCATTATATATAAATGACCATACATTTTTATATTTTAATTAAAATCTTAATTTAAAAGTCTTATATAACAAGATTGTTAATATGAGAGTGAAACTCAACTTGACATCTTTAAGTAAGACTTCAGGTTTGAATTTTGTGGATGAAAAAAAAAAGATGATTGGAAAGAAAGACTCCACTGAAAATAATTAATTTGATTTTCTAGAATAAAAATTAGTCATTAATAAAGTTAGTGAACACTCCGATCTAATGTGGTTCTAAAACCCATTTCTAACTAGAAAATTAAACTGTACTATGAAAGATACAGTTTTCAATTATATGACAATCTATAACCCAATGGCACCATATAATTCAATCGAATTCTACTAATAATATCATCAACTAGAAATGTCATTTTCATGAAATGATCATAAAAAATAGGGTTGATGCATATTGTTGGGATACAAAAAGTCTCACAACGATAAAATAAGATAAGAAATAACAACTTATATAACACAAATATACTTCAATGATCGAGAGGCCTTTTGAGTAATGATCAAAAATAAAATCGTGAGGACTAAGGCCCAAAGCAGACAATATCTCATCATTGTGAAATATGTTTATATAATAACCTTATAAAAATAATCATCATAAAATATCCCCTCAGACAAATACTATAACATAACCTCATTACATATTATGACAAGATAGTGGCCATGCATAATTAGTTACTGATAAGCCATTCCCGCATTGAGCCAAAACTGAGAATATAGCACAAGACCACACGAATCGAAGAGGATAGATTTGTTTCATGCTGAACCATTATCAATATCAATTTGGTCAATTTTGGCGGAGGCTGATATTGTATTATTATAATCTAAGTGCAGTGTACTAGCCCCTGTTAATTTTAATCTTTTACCCTTTTTTCCAAGGTGTATGTATCATGATGTGCACAAGAGTGGGCGAGAAAAATGAAGAGAAATTATCATTATTCTAATACAACTAAAGAATATTTATCTTTTGTGAATTCTGAATTGTGCTTCTCACTTGTCCTCGTTGAAGATCCAATGAATTTACAAGCTTAAGTCAAAAGTCGTGTGAAATTATACTGTCTCTAAAATTTGTAAATTTAAGTTTGATTGAGTTTGTGAAAGTGATTCTCTCTTTACTTCTATTTTACACCAAGTCTCGAAGCAAAAATGAGGCAAAACTCAATTTATAATCAAACTCAACTCAAAATCAAATGAGACTTGTTCAGTTTTAATACTCGATCCTATTTATAAAATCTAATTTATATTGTATCGCATATTAATTGTTTTTATATTAAAATATTTCTAATTAAAGTGTATTATTTTAATTTGATAAAATACATTAATTGTAAACTCTTTAAAAGGAATATACTTTAATTGATTAAGAGAAATGTCAATATTAATTAAAAGAGATAAATAATATAATATTTGCATTCTAATTGATTAAAAGATATATGAATATTAATTAAAATAAATAAATAGTACAAAAGTACTTTTAAGAAAAAAAATATATAATAGAACAAATTTATTATTAATAATTTTTCTTAATTTTGATGAACTAGTTAAATAGGTCTCATATATAAAAACGAAAATAATAGTTTTTAAATGAACATTAAAACCCCATGACTGAAAACTGAACATGAACTTAAGGAGGTGTTAGGTGTTAAAAAAAAAAGTTATGATTTATAAAAAAAATCATAAATTTTGATAATAATGATTTATAAGAATAATTAAAATATATTTAATTAGTTATAAATATTTTTTAAAATATTTATAAAAGTTATTTAAGATTAAAAAAAATACTCACTACATCATTAAATAAGTGAATAATGATATCTCAAAATTTTAATGTATTAAAAATTTTCTCTTAACTTAATGGTAGTTTATCACATCACCTGAAAACAATTTTATAAAAAAACCTATATAAAAAAAACATTGTCAACAAACAATATTTTTTAAGAATATTATTATTTAAACAATAAGTCAAGCATAAGAAACTAACTTTTTCAAAGACTAAAATCTTCAAAGCTTTTTGTGTATCAAATGCCGTGTTCAGTAATTTTGGTAGCTTCTAAATTTTCTGATAATTTTCTTCTTAACTGTTTCATTAAATTTTACCATAAAGTTTATCAAATCGCTTTTCTCAAAATTATTTCATGGAATAAACTTTCTTTTAATAACTTATTATTCAACAAGAACCTGATTGAGTATATATATTTGTGCACGTCTCTTAAAGCAGGATCTTTCTCTCAATACCCTTCCTCACATAAGAGCATAACTACTGGTTAATTTGGTCCACCAATTTCAATGTCATGAAAAAGGATATTTATTTTTTTTAGCCCTGCAAGTGCCATTACTTCCACAGCACGTGAGCTTTAACTCCTCTAAATCTAAAATGTACCTCCAATGTCAAATTGTAGTTGAAGAGCTACCCCTAAAATCCCAAGATGCCAACCAAAACCAAAGAATGTGGGTCAAGCATCGGTTGATATAGACATTTAGACATTACCAAAGCACGCGTGAAGATCATGTCATCTCAAGGTACCCTATATATCTATTCATCAATAATAGGCCCCAAAGATACTTTACTCCATTGAAAATTTTCACTTTTCCAATCAACAGCACTTTGATGCATGAATCAATTTCATAGACGTACTTTTATTCCATCAATAATTCAAACGGAAAAAATGTAACTTTATATTGAGTTTCTTTTGAATCAGTGTGATGGTTTATGTTGGAGTTAATGCATGGCAACAAACATAGGCAGATGAGGGGCCAAAGTTCTGTTCTGATCATGCAAGTTTTAATTTCTTTTACTTTAACACAAACAGCCAAACTACATTCCAATTACAAAACCAAGAAGCATGCAATTAAAATGCATAAGCATTGAGGAGAGATGTTAAAGAAAACAATGCACTTTCTTGGTAACGGGTCAAAACTCATGTATTTATCAATCAACTATTGAGAAGCTACAGTATTTGTGAAATGTGACGTTGGGAACCTCTTGCATCGCATATTGTGTAAGCCCTCACTTTGATATCCAAAATTGAAAGCATCCTTCACTTTAACCTTAACAAAACTTGCATTTTAACCTGCAAACGTTGCAAAATGACATTCACTTGGTCCTTTTTCACTACAGTTTCCACCGGCATTAAGAACTAAAGTGACATTTTACAACATTGGACAAATTTCAAGACTAAAGTAAAAGTTTTATAAAGCTAAGAACAAGTTAAGAATTAAAGAGAATAATACTTCTGCTTGGATCCTCTCCAACTGAATTTCGCATTTGAGCTGTTAAGTTTGTCATTACTCAACAATCAAGGAGGGGAGAGAATGTGATGCAAAGTCAAGATTCCTAATGTAGAGAAATCTTGTAGGAGAGGATCTGAACTAGTTGAGTATAACTAACTTCAGGTGCTTATGTTGTTCACATTGAACAATGAACTAGTTGAGGATACTAACATCTAGTGCTTCTTGTGTTGTTCACATTGATTAATGAATTAGTATCTGTTTGAATACCAACTTAGAAGAGCTTTCGATGTTTCTCAAAACTCAAAAGCTTGTATCTAAACAGACTCCTAGTTGATGATACTAACATTTGGTGGTTCTTATAATGTTCACACTGTACAATTTCTCTCCTGCCTCTCTGTCCAAAAACTAAACCATGTATCAAATTTTCTCTCCTCCTCCCTGCTCGTTGTACACAATGACAACAAATTCAACAACTCAAATCCCAGCAAAACAAAATCCATCGTGCTCACTCACAAGTCTCAACACCACAATGGTAAGGAGAACCAAAACCAAATCCCATTCATGAGTCATTTCTTGTTAGTGCCTCAGCACCAGCCACAATCTCCAACAACTCTCCAGTGATCTTGGCCTGCCGCTCCCGGTTGTAGGCAACCGAAAGGCTCTTCCCCAACTCCACCGCGTTATCGGTGGCGGCCGCCATGGCCCCCATCCTAGCAGCAAGCTCACTAGCCACAGACTCCTGCAAGCCCCTCAAAATCTGGCTATTCAAATAAAGAGGCAACATGGCATCAAGAATCTGAACAGGATCCTGCTCAAACTCCATAAGGGGCAACACTAACCCCTCACCCTCTTTCCTAAACCTCACAACATCCCTCTCCAAAGCCAACTTCCCCTCCTTAGTACTCAACCTAAAAACCCCATCACCACAATTCCCATTCCCATCATTCACAAAAGGCAACAAAGGCCCAATCACAGGCTCAAACCTAACCAGAGACACAAACTTAGTGTACACAAGCTCAACTTTATCAACCTCCTCACTCACAAACAACGAAAAAACATCATCAGCAATGACCTGAGCCTCCTTCGCGGTGGGAAAACCGCCAATCTCTATAAAGCTATCAACTTTAACAAAAGGGTCGCTGTTTTTACCATTGCGGGCGAAAAACGAGTTACCCTTTTTGCCGACGCTGATAACGACGCACCCCAAACCGAGTTTCTTCAACTCCTCGATTCGGGTCGCGGCTTTGCTAATCACCGATTTGTTGAAACCGCCGCAGAGGCCGCGGTCGGCGGTGACGACGACGAGGGCGACGGTCTTGACGGGTCGGGAGGCGGTGAGGGGGGTGGAAACGCCGTCGTCTTGGAGGCGCTGGGCGACGTCGGCGAGCACGGCGGCGAGGTTGGAGGAGAAGGGGCGGGCGCTGACAACGGCCTCCTGGGCGCGGCGGACTCGGGCGGCGGCGACGAGCTTCATGGCTTCGGTGAGTTTGTGAGTGGCGTCGACGGTTTGGATTCGGTGGCGGAGTTCGCGGATGCCGCAGCGAACCGGAGGGAGGATGGAGCGAACCGGAGAGAGGTGGGGTTTTGAGGAGGAAAACATGACATTGGGTTTAAGAGTCAACGTCGTGCTGTTGTTTTGTTTCTGATGAAATTTTAGGACAAGAAAATGTGATGTTAGTGTAGCATTTACAGACTAATTTCCCTAAGCACAAGATAAATACTTAAATAGATTTAAATATATTTTTAATTTTTATAAAATTCATAATTTTGATTTTAATTTTTTAATATATTTTTTTATCCTTCTAAACTTTATAAATATTATTTTTTTATAATAAATTTTAATTTTAATTCTTATAAAAAAAAGTTTTTAGTTTTAATACATCTAAAATTTAAATTAATTATTTTAATTTTTAATGATTATTTTTAAGTGAATAAATAATATTTATTTGAAAGACTTATAATTTTTTTAACTTAATTTTTTAATAAATAAAAAGTAGTTAAAAATAATTACATTAAAATAAGGACTAAAAATAATAATTTTAATTTTATAAGATGAAAAATATAGAAAATAGGTTTATAGGGACTAAAATCAAAACTTACTAATTTTATAGGGACAAAAACATATTTTTATGATTAGTTAATTAACAATATGAAAAACATTTACACTTTAATTCAATTAAATTCTATGTGGAAAATAATATGATTTTTCATTTGTAGTTTTTATTTTCTTTTCAATTTAATTTTTATTTTATTTCGTACTAATATTTTAAAACTTCATCTTAAACTAATTAATCTTTTCAATTTAATTTATATAACATATAATATATTATATTGAAATTTACCTTTTCACTAAAAGTGGAATTTATCTATTTTTATTTAATCATCAGGAATTAGATTGACAAAAACAAAGATCAAATTTATAATAATATTTATATTATTACGACACTCACTTATCTAGTATAAATATACTATTAGTATATATAAATTGTACACATCATCTGATCTCACATTGTTATGTATGATAAGTTTTTTAATATTTATCATAATTTTAAAAGTCATATTTATTACATTTATGATTCGTTGACAATGTATAACTTTTTTATAATTTACAATGAAAACATCTAAGATTATGTATATATAATTTCAACCTTTATTATTAAATTGATTCTAATGGTATTTTTTAACAAGATTAATGTATCAAAATTAAACTACTAAAAGCAGTCAAATTTTATTAAATATTTAACTAAATTATACTTTTAGTTATTTGTACTATCCGTACTTCGCACCTGGGTTCTGAGCCCGGATTAGTAATACAAGAGGGCGGCCTCTGGCACGTGTTGCGCGACGTCAGCCCAGTATTTGGGCGAATCACACTTGATTCCGAGGATCTCGCCCCAAGCCAGATCCACCCTTCAACTATATCATATTATATCACGTTACATTATATCATGATATATCTTATCTCAAGCCCAAAGCCCAAGGCAAACCTAGATCACCTCAAGGTACGTGCATTATATATATGAGACCATTATTCAGGCAAACCCTAACTTTGGCATCGGAGTCTTTTTTGCAGGTACCTCCCCCGTCTTGGAGCACCAATACATCAGCAAAGGAGGCTCACCGATCTTACTGGACGGATCACCCCTACGGTCAAATTCCGGTAAGAACACTTGGCGCCCACCGTGGGGCCGATCAAGACAACTCTTATCGGCCACCTGCATGGTTTCTACTAGAAGCCACATCAGACGAGCAACAGACGACGCAAGCCACTCAACTACCATGGACAGCGACGCTGCAACCTTGAGGCGGCTGATCGACCAAGTCGAGCAGATGCGACAACAGCACGACGCCGACCTCCAGAATATGCGTACCCAGCATGAGAACGACCTCACAGCGATGCGAACCGCCAATGAAGCAGACCTCGCAGCGTCACGTGCCGAGAATGAGCGCATTTGCGCCCAGCTCCCTCGACATCACTCCAATCAACCTCCGCACGAGAGTGACAATCATGAGGAGGAGGCACGTTCGGCCTCCCAATCCCGAGCAACGACCAAGCCACCGACTTCACGGCCCGCCACGCACCGGTCTCATGCATCAACGCACAGATCAGGGCAGGGCACTAGCAGGGCCCCCACCCATGTCTCCGAGGGCCAAGAACCCTTCCGCCGTCATCCTTTTGTGGACGGCATCATGGAGACCCCACTGCCCCGCGGGTGGAAGCCCCTCCACCTTGACCGCTACGACGACACCACGGACCCTGACGAGCACATCGACTCGTACACAACTCAGGTAAACCTCTACAATAACAGTGACGCTATATTTTGTAGGGTTTTTCTGACCTCGCTCAAGGGACCCGCGCTTCATTGGTACACCCAACTACCAGCTGGATCCATCGACAGCTTTGGCACCCTGGTGCGGCGATTCAGGGCACAATACGCCACCAGTCGACCTCACCACACAACCTCGGCCGCCTTGGCCAATCTCAGGCAGAACGACGATGAACTCCTGCGAGCTTTCATGGAGCGCTTCTCCAACATCTCGGTTCGAATCTGAAATCTCAACCCGGAGGTCGCCCTGCACGCCATACTCATGGCACTGAAACCCGGATCATTCGTCGACAGTCTATGTCGTGATGCCCCCCGCGACATGGACGAACTGCGTGCCCGCGCCGCCGGCTACATTTAGATGGAAGAGCACTCGGCCTTCCGCGACCAAGTTCGCGGGAAGGGCCCCGCGAAACCGGAACAGGGTCACAAAGATAAGGTAAAAGTCAATAATGACAGTCAATTCAAGAAGTCGGCCAGGGCAAACAGAGGCGGGAGGTATGACTTCTACACTCCCCTGAACGCCCCGAGAGTCCACATCCCGGAGGAAGCCAGTAATAGTAACCTACTAGCCCTCCCACCACCCGACCACACTCCCAACAGCGCCGATAAGTCCAAGCACTGTCGGTACCACAGGAACTATGGCCACACCACGGATGACTGCCGCACGCTCCGGGATCGCATCGAAGAACTCATCCAAGCAGGCCACCTCGGCTAGTACGTCCAGCGACAGCAAGGTTCCCGAGGAGGCTCTGGAGGCCGGGGACGCGGGAGAGGTCGCGGGTCAGGAACTCGCACAGACTTACCCACAAGGTCCCAACAAAATGCCAATGGCGCAGTACAGGCCGAAATAGGTCTGGAGACAGAATCAGCCCCCTTGCGGGGAATAATCAACACAATCGCAGGCGGCTTCGCTGGAGGAGGCGCTAGCAGCTCGACCCGAAAAAGACACCTTCGAAGTATCAATTGCGCCCACTCCACTGCCTCGATCTCGCACAAGAGCTCGCCACCGATCTCTTTTTCCGATGAGGACTATGCAGGAATCAGTCCTAACCAAGATGATCCCATGGTCATCGTGGTAGAGATCGCCAACTGGGAAGTACAAAAGACGCTCATCGACCAAGGGAGTTCGACCGACGTCCTGTACTGGCCAACGTTCCTCAGGCTAGACGTCCCCCATTCTCTCATCCAACCACACACAGAGCCCCTAGTTGGCTTTGCCGGCGAACGGGTTCACACCCGCGGATACGTGGATCTGCTGACAACCTTCAGAACACCTCCGGATGCAAGGAGGGTCATGGTTCGATACCTCCTCGTGGAGGCCAACACCTCCTACAACATCATCATCGGGAGGCCAACCCTAAACCACCTCGGTGCGGTAGTATCCACTCTGCACCTCACCATGAAGTTCCCAGGGAATGATGGTAAGATTATCTCCGTCAGAGCAAACCAGAAGACAGCTCGGCAATGCTACGTCGAGAGCCTGAGGATCTCCTCGTCCGGCAAGGAAAGCAAGGGAAATCCCCCCACCGCGCCCCATTAGATTCTGTTCCCCCTCTATGTATAAACGAAACCGTGCACTCTTTTCCCGCCTTAGTCCCAAACTGAGAGGGTTTTTAACGAGGCACACAAAATTAATTAATGATATTCTCCATTTTGCTCAACCCATCTTCTTACTTATTACTTTCTTACCTATGGTAAAAATCGAAATTGAACCACCCTTCTTCACGTAAACCCGAGGTCGAATACGAACCCCGGTATTCTCATTCGAGGTCGAATACGAACCCCGACATTCTCGTTAGAGGTCGAGTACGAACCTTCATCAAATCTTTCACGTAAACCCGAGGTCGAATACGAACCCCGACTTTCTCGTTAAGGTCGAGTACGAACCTTCATCAAATCTTTCACGTAAACCCGAGGTCGAATACAAACCCCGGTATTCTCATTCGAGGTCGAATACGAACCCCGACATTCTCGTTAAAGGTCGAGTACGAACCTTCATCAAATCTTTCACGTAAACCCGAGGTCGAATACGAACCCCGGTATTCTCATTCGAGGTCAATGCGAACCTTAATCCAATCCTTCACGTAAACCCGAGGTCAAATCAAACATGTAAAACCGAGGTCAAGCATGAACCTCAATATTCTTAGCTAAGGTCGAGTCCGAACCATAACCAAATCAATTTGCTTGAGAGCCCGAGGCTGAGGTCGACAACGAACCTCGACGCCTTCGTAAAAAGTCGAGTCCACACCTTCATTCATCTGAGTCTGAGGTCGAGTACGAACCTCAATATCCCCACTTAAAGGGTGGAGCCGAACCCCCATTAGCCAGTATGCCAATTCGAAGGGGTATGCGAACCCCCAACATGCAAATTCGAGGTCGAATGCAAACCTCGATATCCTCACAAGGTCGAGTTCGAACCTCAATCAAACCTTTCACCTATCACCCCGCCACGTCCCCCAACCCATAACCCGGGGGCCGAGCATGAACCTCAATATCCCCACCTAAAGGTCGAATTCGAACCTTCACTATATCGCTCACCTCACACCGAGGTCGAAGCACAAACCTCAAGCATGTAAATCTGAGCTCGGGTACGAACCTTAAGTATGTAACTCCAAGGTCAAGTATGAACCCCAATATTCTCACCTAAGGTCGAGTTCGAACCATAGCTGAATCGTCTACTCAAATCCAAGCCCAAATTGCGATACGCCCCATTTCCAAGTCAAGCACAAACCAAAACCGAGGTCGCGCACGGACCTCGGAACCTTCGTGCACGGTCAAGTCCATTTACGCAAATACGAGGTCAAATGCGAACCTCAGGCAAGTAAAGCTGAGAACAAGTGCGAACCCTGAC